TCGACCCGCCGGCCAGGGAGACCCGTAGAAACGGCTGTCCCGCTGGCCGCCCGTGGCACAGTACAGGGGCCCGAGCGTTCCTAACCAGTTCGCGAGGCTGCCCCATCATGTCACGCATAATCTCGGGGTGGACCGTCGTGCCACTTCCGGGGGGGTACGGGGGCCCTTCCGTCCGGCGGGTCGGCGTATATCCTCTGCAGGCAATCATTCGGGGAAACATGCCTCCCTAATTTGCCCGGTCTTGTCGCGACAACGTCCACTCGTTTCACGTCTCTTTTTCACTTCCATAATGGCAGCTCCTAAAACAAAGTTTGGACGTTCAGCGGTGCACACCCCCACACCTTCAACGCTGTTTGAGGTCGAGTTCTGCAACATACGCGGACTCCACTCTAACCTCAACGCTGTCCACCACCATCTTACGACAGCACGGCCAGCATTGTTGTTCCTGACGGAGACACAAATACTTCCGCCTGCTGACACAGGCTACCTTAATTATCCCGGCTACGTGCTTGAAGAGTCCTTCAAAGCGAAAGCCGGTGTATGCCTGTATGTTCGGGCGGATGTTTGTTGTCGCCGTCTCCGCTGCTTGGAAGATCCCTCCTTCTCCATGCTGGGGGTACACGTCGACTCTGGCCCCCGGGCCAGAGTCTACGTGTGCCTCTACAGATCCCACACCGGCGATGTTGAGACAACTCGACTTTTTGAACACCTTAGTCGAGCAGCAGATGACGCGCAGGAACAATTTCCCAATGCAGAATTGGTGTTTTTGGGGGACTTTAATGCTCACCACAATATGTGGTTAAGTTCCTCCAAAACTGACCATGCAGGGATCTCTGCTCACGCATTCGCTCTCACGCATGACTTGAAGCAACTGGTTGATCAGCCCACCAGGATCCCAGATATTCCAAGTCAAGCGCCTTCTTTACTGGACCTTCTGCTCACGACCCATCCACAGGGCTATCAGGTTGTGGTAAGAGCCCCCCTGGGCTCGTCAGACCACTGCCTGATATCTGCCAAAGTACCACAGGCCAAGCCTCCGCGTCCAGCAGTGGTCAAGCGCCGTATCTGGCATTATGGGTCGGCAGATTGGGACGGTATGCGTGACTACTTTGCGTCCGTCCCTTGGAAGCAGCGCTGCTTCAGTGACAGGGACCTATCGGCCAGTGCCGTTGCCATTACTGAGGAGATTATAATGGGTATGGAATACTATATTCCTCATTCTGATCTCATCAGTAAGGGCACGCGTAACCTCTGGTTCAATCACGACTGTGCTGAAGCTGCTTCGCGTAAGCAAGCGGCATATCGTGCTTGGATCAGAGGTCGCGCTCTCAAGGATCCCGAGGTCGATTCACTCAAAGCAGCCTACAATTTTGCTTCCAAGGCCTGTAAGAAGTCTTACATTAGAGCGGATGCCCAGCGCGTTGCACGTGTTGGCCAGGAACTTATGACGCATCCTACGGGTTCCCGTAGCTACTGGCGTCTGACCAAGGCCGTGCAAAAAAACTTCTGCGAGCCCTCGCTGCCACCTCTGAGATGCCCAGACGGAACACTAGCCCATAAGCCGCAGGAGAAAGCCGATTTACTGGCAAAACTCTTTGCGGCTAACTCCCGAATCGATGATTGCAATGCACTGCCACCATCATTACCTCACTGTGGCACAACGATGCCTGATATTAAAATCAGGCAGCGCGAGGTTCGTGCCGAATTGCAATCACTCGACGTCCGGAAAGCTAGTGGACCTGATGGCATCCCAGCAGTAGTACTCAAAAAATGTGCAGCGGAGTTGTCTCCCGTGCTCACGCGCTTATACCAATGCTCGTATTCTTTGGGGCGTGTGCCGGAGACTTGGAGAGATGCCAATGTGCAACCGGTGCCCAAAAAAGGGGATCGCTCAGACCCGGCAAACTACCGGCCAATAGCAGTCACCTCAGTTTTATGTAAAGTTTTAGAAAAGGTCCTTAATAACCATCTGACCCGCTACCTAGAGGATCACTCCTTGATTAATGATCGTCAATATGGTTTTAGACCGAAACGATCGACGGGTGATCTTCTAGCGTACTTAACTCATATCTGGGGTGAGGCTATCGACAAGCGTGGCGAGTCGTTGGCTATCAGCCTTGACATTGCCAAGGCGTTTGACAGGGTCTGGCACAAAAGCCTTCTCTCCAAGCTTCCGGCATACGGTCTGCCAGCCCAGTTCTGTTCTTGGGTAGCTGACTTCCTGCATGAGCGTAGAATTCGTGTCCTTACGGATGGTAGCAGTTCGCGGTTCATGTCAGTGAATGCCGGCGATCCCCAGGGCTCCGTCCTATCCCCCACTCTCTTTCTGCTGCATATCAATGACTTAATTCCTCTTGGGAATATTCATTGCTATGCAGACGATAGTACAGTGCATGCGGGGTATCTCGGACAAGCAGCGGCTGGGCTGGCGGTAACCAAGGAGAAACGCGAGAATCTTGTCATTGAACTCAATCAGGCTTTGGACCACATTTCCGAATGGGGTACCAGGAACTTGGTTGAGTTCAATGCCAAAAAACTTAGGCTTGCGCTTTCACGGCAAAAACATCGTCATTCCTTCCTCTTCCATCTCTTCAGGGCACAACACTACCGCTGCAGAGCAACATTTCCATGCTTGGTATGGAAGTTCGCTCAGACCTGAATCCAAAGAACTACATCGAAACCGTGATCAAAACAGCTTCACGCAAACTCGGAGTCCTGAACAAGGTGCGAACTGTGCTTGTTGTACAAAACGCAAGTGCGGTCCTGCGTGGAATATTGCTCGCACCTCTGGGATGGCTCCGCCAAGTACTTGCTCGATGCTTTGGATAGGTTACAGCGACGCGCGATCCGCATCATAGGCGATGAGGAGGTGACTAAACACCTTGAGCCTCTTCAATTACGCCGTGACGTGGCGTCACTAAGCGCGTTCTATCGTCTGTACCACGGCGAGTGTTCTGAGGAGTTATTCTCTCTTATCCCACCTTCTCCTTTCCTTCAGAGGACCACGCGCGCTGGCCTACGTTGCCATCGTCTAACTGTGGCCACAATTCCAACGCGTACAAAGAAATTTGGTGACTCATTTCTTTGTCGCACTATCCGTAAATGGAATGCTCTGCCCGCTCACGTGTTCCCTCCCTCTTACAACCTGGGATCCTTTAAAAGAGGCGTGAAGAAGCAACATGCAGGCCGGCAGGGTGAAGATGGCTGGTGTGGCAGGTAAAACTGCTGTATCAGCTATCGTCACGTCTGGACTTCACCTTCACTTAACATCAGGTGGGGTGGAGTCATTTGTCGGACCTATCTATAAAAAAAAAAAAAAAAAAAATTCGTATCTGGAAAAATCGTAACTGGATCTCAGATCAATGATATTCAACATATCTATGAATTGTGCTGTATTTAGTATTGTCTATTATTTGTAAATCTGTTTCGCTGGTGAATCGGTTGTGCTGATTTCCATTCCATTTCCATTATATTCTGTGGAAGTTTGTGACTTTCTAGTCTTGTTTACGAAAGATGGACACCTGAGAAGCCCTGCAATCATTTTCATCATTCGAAAATAGGATCTATTTTTAGGGAGATAATTTTCGTTCCATTATTATTATGATACTGTACTGTCATGTAGTGTAGCGGCAATTTGGTACTTTGATAATTCTTTCTTTAATTAGAATTTGTATTGAACTATTATTACTGTGCTAGGCTGACCTAAATATATTTTTTGGGAAAATTGGTCCGATATATCGATGTTTTTTTCGCGATATATCGAAGCCGATATTGATATTTTTTAAAATATCGATGTATCGATATATCGATATTTATTCAACTTTCGACATCCCTACTGCATTTGTCATTTAACTTGATCAAAATATAATTTCTTTTTATGTAATATGTTGTGAATAAATCAACAAATTAAATTGCAGATGATGCAAAAGAATTTAAAGAATATCTGTTTTTTTTTTAATTTATTCATGACCATGGATACAAGTCCTTCAGTCGTATACATAAGTAATACAAAACAATGAAGATTATAAAGTGAGAATTTGAAAATAACAGTATACACATAAGATGGATATGTCACCTGACTGAGTTTTGATAGATACACCTACATTTTGTATAATCTCATAGAAATGAGTATCAAGTATTGTGTATTTCAAACCATGTTTGACTAAAATGCCCACACCATTATGTTTGTTTTGAGAATTTTTGTAAATAAAGTTGTAATTAGGAATATTGGAGTTATTGCTGAGCCAGGTTTCATTTAATAAACAAATATCAATATTTTTTTTGAAGTTATACTTATTTAGCCGCGTTATGAAAAAATTATGAGAGTGAAATTTTAAGATGCGCGCGCATCACTGTAACACAAAAGTAACATAATGAAGTTAGCCGCGGGCGCGTTATGAAAAAATCATGTGAGTGAAATTTCGAGATGCGCGCGCATCACTGTAACACAATAGTAACACCATGAAGTTGGTCGCGGGTGCGTTATGAATGTTAGTGTCTAATAAGCTATTATTTTACAACCAGCTGCCACCTGACGTTAAGACAGTAACTGTGCTGGAGAGTTTGGGAGCAGCCGTTGGAATATGCCTCTTCCGCCACCTTCCCTACTGATCCGCCCTGCCTAGCGGATTAGCTCTGGTGTCACCTGGTACCCTATAGTGTAAGGACAGCTTTGCACTAAGTGTATGTCCCTTCCGTCTACTCTGTTGTACCGATGGTTGCCTTCTCCGCCTTTGTTGCCATCGAGGTCTTCACTGGTAAAACTGAGCAGGGGGCTGTGTTATGTCCCGCAGCACTGGGTCCCCGCCTGAACTCCGTCACCCTTTTTCTCCCCGTCCTATTGAGAAGAAGAGTGCCCAACCCGCAACTAGGAAGCGAGAATTGCCCAGGTGGGATATAGAAAAGGTGTCTCTATTTCACCTAGGACCGGGTCAATGGTTCTGTGTGTTCCCAAGACCAAAGAAAATAAAGTAATAATGTGTTATTAATCATTATCCACGCAGGCATAAAACCGCAGGAAAGATAATAAGTTTTATTATCAACTAGAAGCCAAATATAATTAGCGAAATTTTAATTTCACAAACACGCATGTATCTTTCTTTTTACTTTTTACGCATTGTTCTAATCTTAAGAGAATAAATAATCTACTGAAAATCAAAATGTCAGTGTCGTATAAATGCACATCATATCAACCACACTATTGTTGTTGATCGAAGACCTTAATAGTAAAAAAGTATAATATTAGTTTCTTTCTGTTCTGTTTCACATGAAAACGAAATAACTAGTTTTTATGATACTTAAAAAAAACAATACAACAACATTTTTTTAAACACCTTTGTATAGAAATATGAAGTGGGTCAGTTTCTTATCACTCACAAAAGTAGTAGAAATCATATTTCTCATTTTATAGTAATGAAAGGTAGGGCAAAGCAGATTTCACATATCAAGTATGGGAACTGTCATTATGGCTGAAATGGAGAAGTTCACGGCCGTAAAACTTTAAAAAAAAATCTGTCATAATGATAACTGTCAGATCTGCTTTGTCAGTCGTCAAATTGTCAATTCTTGGTTCAGTCTTGCAGTCATATCAAGTTCTAAACATTACAAAAATACTTCTATTTTTAGTTTTTCCCACGTTTTGCATTTGTCTACATTAATAGTATTCCTAATATACCCATTTCTACTTTTATATCTTAAGTGGCTTAACAAGTGGACAAGCAAAATGGGTCGAAAATCCCAATCGAAACAATCGCAGAAGAAAAACAGTGGGAAAGAAAATAATAAGCTCATTCACAATAGAAAAGAGCTCAATGTTTTAATTGATAAATTGCTTAAATTAACCAGCATTTTTCAGGCCGCGTGCAATGTTACCAAAAGTTGGGAACACCATTTGGAAATCAGTGAAATCCTAAGGCAAATAACAAATATAGAATTAGGTTATAGTAGTAAAAATAAACGGAGTCCACGTCAAGCAAATGTGCAGAATTACTTAAAATGGTTAAGAGAAAATGGAGCTGAATTTGATGGTGCGTGTACTTTCAGTAAAAACAATCAAACAGTTATATTGTCACTAGAAACTGCTTATGTAAAAGTTAACTCAGCTTTCACTCCACTTCATTCACACACATTGTAAATATTGATATTTCCACTTGTTTTTATTTCTTTTCAGGAGTTGACATAGCTGAATTTGAAGGCTATGAATGGGGTTTGAAAACAGTAAAAGCATTTAATGAAGGTTCATTGATACTCACTGTACCTGCTAAGGTTATGATGACAGAGAAAAATGCACAGGAATCCGAGCTTTCGGAATTCATTAAAGTTGATCCATTACTACAGAACATGCCCAACATTACCCTAGCTCTAGTTCTTTTATTGGAAAAAAGTAGTCAAGGTAAACCAAATTAGATTTTTTATGATAAAATATTACTAGTATTCCTTCTTATTTTATAACCTCTCTGTTTTTATGAAACAACAAGACTTTTTTTATAATAGAGAAGTTGTTTGAGTTCCAATAAATGCAATGATATATCAATTTCTATTTACATAAAAAAATTAACTGAGAACCTACAACTTTCATAGGGGTGTGTACATGTATATTCCACCATGAACTCAAATATGAAGTATCTAAATCATTTTAAAATTTAACATTCCAGATTCCTTTTGGAAGCCTTATATTGATATGTTACCTGAAAAATATGCAACTGTTCTATATTTTAGTAATGAAGAATTGTCCGCACTTAAGGTATGAATCAACTTTTGTCTCATAGCTTCATTATAAACTTTCAGATCTGTAATTATTAATAACTTTAATTATACTTACTTTGCTTACTAGTCTTAATGATTATTGTATGTTTGAGAAATGTTGTAGAAAAATAAGGATTTATATTATTTAGAACTGGCCAAACTTTTTATGCCAAGTATATTACTGCAGTCCTAGTGAAGAATGCAGTAAGAGCTCTGAAATGATTTTGCGAAAATGGCTTTAAAAATAACAAATTTAAACACAATTTTCTCAAAATCATGTCTGAGCTCTTTCACTAGGATGATGATATCTGTGATTCATGTCTGCATATTATTATTTGCAGTGGAGAAAAAATATTGTTACATTTTCCTATCTTGAACCAATGAACATTCTATTTGTCATATTTTACAGCCCTCACCAGTCTTCGAATCTGCTTTGAAACTATATAGAAGTATTGCAAGGCAATATGCATACTTTTGTAACAAAATTCATACCTTGAATATCCCAGTGATGAAAAAACTGCAGGAAATATTTACTTTCGATAATTACAGGTAAGAAAACTATTACAAGTGCTTATTTGTAAAATTTTAATATCATTAACAGAATGTTCTAATTATATTGCACTTGCCATATAATACTGAAACTTAATTAATATTTAAGTAATAAATTATGGTACCTAAGAATAAAAGTAATTCAATAAATTTAATGAAAATTTTGTTGTTGTATACAACTATGTACAAATAAAAAGAAAAGACAAAAACATTAAAATAATCATATTCTTAAATTAAAATCAGGTCACTAGTTGAATTACATTAAAGATCTCTGTATCATTTAATTATATTATTTGAAAGCGAACATAACAATTCTAAAAATAAAAATGTTTGTATACTATTTACTAATTATGATAAAAGATCTTTAAAGAACTAACTGCATTGTCTTTGATTATCCTTAATAATCAAATTCATCCTTATATTGTCAGTCTAGTTACTTATTTCTATTAATCAAATCTAACTAACTTACTGAAATGGTTTTCGCAATGTGTCCCACATGTACTCAGGTGAATCTTTGCCATTCTGTGATTCCAATGTATTCATTGTATAGATGTTTGAAGTGGACAGCATGGGACTAATGCTTCTGCTACTGCAATTCTTCTTAATTTTTCTGTTTTCAAACACTGGAGTTGGAATCCTTTCATTGTGGAAATTGTTTTTCCTGTTGAGTGATTTTTGCTGCCTCCACTTCAACACAGTATAGGTTAGTAGAAATAGGACCATAGCAATACCGACAAGGCTTGCGGTAGCCACTGTGACTGATTTTGCACTACTTGGTAAATTGTTTGGGACATTTTGATTATGTAGATACTCTCCACTCTCATAAGAGTTGAATTCAACTTTTTCCATAGACCCTGATTGGACATTGCTATCTGTTTCGCTTAAATGTTGCAAGTGTTCAATTGCTATAAATCTGTCACCGCCGCCATTTGTCTCTTCTACAGTCTTCTGTGTCGTTAACAGCTGTGCACCTGTAATCATATTCATTAAGCAATTAACATTTCAGAATTTATGTTTTATAATCTCAAAAATGTAAATCCTTGATTATTTCATTTCGAACTTAACTGTCTCATTGTAATTTACTTGCAAAAGTGAATTTCTCATAATGAAAAGTAAATTTTATACTTTTTTTTTATTACTTTCATTAGCTTTATTTATTATTAAAAGGACAAGGATACTCCAAATGATCATTGTGATTGTGACCCAAATTTAATTGAGAGCTCACTAGATGTCTCTTTCAGCTTCTTTTATCTCTAATTTGCCAAACATAGCAGTACTGCAAATAAACGTTAGATGGCGCTGATACGAACAACGAATGCTTAAAAATTAAACTGAACTACTTGTATCAAACTCAAATAGTACATGAACTAAAGCAATATTTTACAGAATACAATAAAGATGAAGAGTCTGCTAAAAGGAATATCAGATAGAAATGAGCTGTGCTCTTCACAAGTATCATTTTAGGTAACCACTGTATATTTTTATATGATCTACCTAGTCCGTAAAATATTTGTGTGTACAAATTATATAAATTAATAAAGATCATGAAATAAAAACAATATGTGTTTGAAATAGTTAAGATTTAAAAATTATAAAGAAATAAAAAAAGATCTCTCCGGCGGGGAATCGAACCCCGGTCTCCCGCGTGACAGGCGGGGATACTGACCACTATACTACCGAAGACTTATCAGTATGGGCGAAAAATTTATTCTATTAGCAATGATTCGTCATCGTGTTCAAGGATGAAAAAGTATGAATCACATTGAAAACTAATTTTGAATGAACAATGAGTTTTTAATGTGATTTTATATTCATTTGTTTGCGTGATGAATGGAAATGTATGCAGAATTTATTGAAGTGAAAACTTCTTTAGCAGCGTTGTACACTTTTTTTGTAATGGGTAAAAATGTTAAACTCGCAGTAGGACATGTCGCCTGATCGAAAATTCATAAGACGAAAACAATAAAATTGTAAAGGTTATACTTTCAATGTATTGGACGAAACATAGTAATATTTTATTTTATCGTATAATAATAATAAGTCTCTAACTAGGACGTCCAGTTGGCAGCTTTATTGCGAAGAAAATGCATTTTTTTACAAAAGATGTCGCTAGGTGCGCTTAAATGTGATTCATGTAAGTTGATTTTTCTGAGAGATAAACTTTTTAATGTAATACAAATTGTCAAGTTTGTGTACGATAGCGTAATAAATAAATATTGTATTCTACCACATAAATGATTGTACTTTTATACTGATAATTAAAGCAATTCGTGCAAAATTATTCCCTAACCATTCCAAAATATTAAAAATACACAACGTTAATATTCAAGTTTCCACTTCTGCCGGCACTCCCAGAGTACCAAGAGCTTACCCTCCTTACTGGCACATTAAACCCTTATCTTTTTCTTTTTTTTACAGTATTTTCTTTATCTGCGTGATTGAATATACGGGTTATACTTTACCTTCGCCTGATTTTTCTAATTCGCTGCTTTCATTATTCCGTTGTTTTCGAATCATAGCAAATATTTCGTTCCAGCTAACCATATCCTGGTCGTCACTCATCATACGGCTATCTCTAGTATCGGGTTCATCGTCTGTTGCATTTACATGGATGATCGTCGTTCTATAAGGCGTTCCTTCAGAATCTTTCTGTATTGAAGTCTCTTGTATTTGCTCATCATCTATTGTGAAATTATTAAATAATGACATAATACCCATATTCTCAGCATTTTCATTAACATTATTTCCAAAAGCCATTGTCATTGGAATCGTTATATGATTCGCTAGTGATATGACCGCATCGGTTGTTGAACTTTTTGTAGTGGTATCGTGTAAATTAGCATCTAAGAGCGCTCTCAAAGGATATGTTTCTTTAGATATTGGTTCTAAGGAAGACTTAGTTAGGAATGGCTCTGGCGGGTTTGGTTCTCTAGAAGCATTATGGAATATATCTGCCAAATGGACATAACTAGAACCGCGCTCCCGGTGTTCTAGCAATTCGCCCAAAGTCATGTTTCTTTCTTTCAATATTCTAGAAAGCCTTGCACTAGCTGAAAAGGTAAGATTTTTATTCCATTAATGATTTGTGATGCACAAATTCCTGTAAAAATAATTCATTATCGTGGTTAAAATAAAGAATCCCGATTCGAATCCCTAAAAGGACCCTTGGAACTTTGCGTCAACAATCGTAAATTATTGAACTATTTATCACAATATATGTAACAAACATTTGATGTCATTATTAGTGTTGATTAGTTTAATATAAAATATACATGTAACTCACAACTTGTATCATTGAGAATCTCTTCAATTTCAATCTTTGCAGTTTCTTCGGTAGTAGTGGTTATCGGATATTCAGTAAAAGTGGTTGATGGTAATGCAAATTTATATAAATTCGGTTTTTTAGAGGTTAAACCAGTATTAATCTGACTCGTTGTCACTGTGGTCATAAAATCTTCTAACTCTGTTGCGGTTTCTCGCATATCGATAGGACTTGTTAATTTAGGTTTTTGTGTCCTTGCTATAAATTCTGAAGAAGACACATAATCTCCCATGTTCAAGAAGTTTTTCATAACCTCGTCGGGTGGTGCTTCTGTTGTCGACGTTTTATGTTTCAACCGCTTTTTCTTCAGTCTGTTATTGTAAACCTGACGACGCAGTCCTGAGGCAGATTCAGTCCTAATGATTGGTTTTATTATTGGTTTTTCTGTGATACTAGAAGGCATTTCTGATTCTAAAATTTCTAAAACTAAAGTAGTAGTTTCAACTTCATCTGTATTAGTAGTAACAGTTTGGTCGTGAATATCGTTATCGTCGTGGGTCGTATCGGCAATTGTAGATGGCGCTAAATCCTCTATGTCATAGAATGTTGTAGTTTCTTCAGGAGCAAATTTTGGCGCAAGCGTTATATCGTCATAACTTACATTTGAGTCAGTAGTAACATTAAAATTTGGCATCAATGGAAGCATATCTTTCCACAGCATAGCTTTTGTCGTATTTCTTCTGTTATGGTGAATATACCGTCGTGCACTTAATGCAACCAAATCTCTGTTTAGTTGGCTTTTGTAGTTATTACTAAGCATTGGCCTCATACGCAACTTTCTTCGAATACCTCCGGTAAAACGACGTTTCGCAACTATGGCTGAATCGGTACTTGTTGATCCATTTAGAAGATCATTTCGTACGCTCGAAGATATAATATTGTTTGATTTAGTGCCGTTATTTACATTTTTATTTGAATCCTTTTCTTCATTTATATCATTTCTTTTGGTTTCTGTTAGCAAAGAATCGTTCTGTGATAGCGTAATAAAGGAATTTACGTTTTTGTTTTCAGAGTTTTCGCTATTTAATCGGTTTTCATTATTTTCTACTCTTGGTTTCGTAATTTTTCGCAGAGCGGGAACCCTTGCTCTGTTAGTACTTTTTGTTTTTAAATGGTTGTCACTTTCTGGCGGCAAAGAATCTGTCTTTGGTATTGCAGCACCCGAATCTTGATCTTTATTTTCAGAATGTTCACTGTCAAATTGGTTTTCTTTATTTTCCACCTTTGGTTTAATATTTTTTCCGGAAGCAGAAACCGTTGATTTATTGTTATTTTTTGATTTAAACAGTTTGTCAGGGTCACTTACGTCTGATATACTGACTGTTACATTTTTTGTAGTTTGCAAGAGATTTTGAGATTGTAACACTGTTACGGCTCTTTTATTTCCGCTTAATAAATCTGCTAAAGTTAAGTTGTGTTGTTGTAAAATTTCGCTTAAACTAGTTCCATTGGACCTTTTTAAAATATCTTTCAGTGTTTGTGGATTTATTGATTCAAGATCCTGAAAAAGAACAGTATTATAATAAATATTTCAAATAATGTTAAAATAGTTATCAGTCGCATCCAGACATCGATAAAATTGAAGGCATAAAATTACACAATTAACTTTACGTAAACGTAAAAATGAACTGACGTCTCAAAATGCTTAATATTCACCTACTTTTTATCACAAAAAAAGGTCAGACATGCGTTCCACAGAAGTTAAGGAAAAATGTCATAGGAAATTTGCCTAAACTTTTTTGTAGTAAGATCGTAAAGATTTATATTATCAATAGCTTAATGCTGATTGTTCTACTTTTCGTGATAATCGTTATAGACACACACAACATAGTAAAATATAATGAAAAACAATCTTTGTCATTTTTATGCTCGATTCAGTAATATCCTCCACATCACCTGAAGTTCTTGGTTTTAAATGAACGTGTTAGTGGTCCATTTGTATAGAGAAAGAAGCCTGATGCTGACCTTGCTAGTCTGTATCTTTTTGCCTACGCGGTAGAACTACCGTTCATGCATTAACAGCTTTCAAGAAACAAAAACGCATTCCATTAAATAAATCACTTTTACAACACATTTGCTCAAAAAATGCATTTACGAAGATTGGTTTTCTTAATTTCGATCTAACCTCCTCGGAAGCGCTTTTAGTCTATACCTATGTCTCACTTTAATACTAAAAATAAAAAGAGACGAAAGATGTAGAACCACATCTTTTGTCCCTTTTTAATTTTCACCACCCGCGCGTGGCGCCATTAGGAAATGCGCGCCATTTTCTTATTAGAAAAAATTGCTTCATTACTTAAATTATGAATAATGTTTTCTCGCAAATGTGTTGAAAAACGTTGTATGAAATTCGTGCAGATTGGTATTACAAACTCGTGACTATGTAAACGTAAACGTAATTCCTCGACTTCCGTCTTCTCGTTTGTAATATCCAGCTAACCGCACTAATATCATAAATAACTATTAACAACTTAGGTATTCTTACAGTATAGATAGAATGATCAGACACAAGTAATATTACCTACTTATATTATCGATGTTAATATTTGTCTAGTTTATAAGAAGTCGTTAAAATAGAACATGTATCTAATATAAGCTTTCTACTTTTAGTCATAATATGTTATTCATGGAATAAATATTTTATATTGAAATAATATTTATATTATCTATCGATATTTTCTTAAAAGAGGTTGTTTCATCAGACAAAGTAAAAATGAATCAGGAAGTTCGCTGTTATAATCTGTGTAATGAAATGTGACCCTCCTATTATTTTAAGTTTTGAATATGGTAACATTTGAACTGTCACTTTGACGTTACGAATTGGCAATTTCTTGTTTGGATGGGTTTTGATACTTGCGTTTATTCTTTCTACAAATCTTATATATGCGATATAAAATATAGCAGTATTGAGTACATTTCCCTTTTTTTAACTTGGTTTAAAATGTTTCATTAATCTCGTAATTTAAAGTATCAAGCCTATTTTACAGCTACGTTATAGTTATAGTGTTTACAGCTACATATTTTTTTTTAAATTCGCCGCTGTTTTGGAAGGTCATGATTCATTAGACAGACTCTATGCACTTTAAAAACATTAGTCAATGAAAATTAGTATTAAATTATAGGTTCCTAGGGACAGATATTTTATTTTCTCACCCTCAAACAAACTTTTTGTATATTTACTTGAATATAGTTTTCTTTTATATTTTTCAACCACTTTCTCTTTGGTTTTCATCGGCATTTTATAAGATATTTTCCTCTGATTTTGCTTTGGTACTTTTCTCAAATCTAGATAATCATTTTTATCAACTGACTTCAATTTGTGTATAAGTTCTCTCAGTGAATTATAAGCTTTTTTCTTTTTCCTATTACGTTTCATAGAGATATACTCACTTTTAAAATCAAAGTATTTATCTAATTCCAATACCAATACTTTTTCCTAGAATAGTAGGAAGCCTTATTATTTTGTCTCGAAGCATAATCTTATTAATGAGATTATAGATCTTATATGTCGTTACATAGTTTATTATATTTATTTTAAACATTTGAGTGCTAGATTTATAAATCTAAAGTTTACAAAGGTTAGTTTAGTAAAAGAATTCGTTATCTAATCCAAACAAACAGGAACTTAATAATTCCTGACCTTAAATAAGAATTTATTATATGCTGCTGATGGCCTGCCCCAATAGGGCTCCGTAGGCCACTCTAATAGGCGCAAATAATCTGCTGAACCCTACGTCTCTGTGTAACTGCCTTTTATATCATTTTCTTTGAAAAAAATATAATAATTTCTTAATTATTTACCTGTGAACTATCCATATTGTAAAATATAGTTGGTGATTTTTCTCTTACTTTGTCATGTAAATTAACATTATTTACACCTTGTGAGTCGTCCTTGTTTTTTTCATTAGAATTCAAAACTTCCATTGAAAATTCAGATAGAGATTTATCTTCTTTCAATGTAATATCTGACTCTTCATTGTCTTCCAATAAAGTAAATTTACGTTTGGGTTTAGATTCGGGAACTTTGATTTCTCTTTCCATGTATTCATCGTCGACGTCAAACGTCTTATATTTTATATTATCAATACCTATTCCTTCTTCTTTGTAATCTGGGACTAATTCTGAATCTTTATTATTTTCAGTGTCTCTGGAGAAGCCTCCAAATTCGCTCAAAGTTGGACGATTGTCTAGTGACGGTCGTTTCCTTCTCCTTTGTAAGCGTCTTCTAATTGGTACATTTTCATCTATAGGTTCATCTGTCCACCGATTCGGTCTTACTTTCTTTCTACGTCTTCTGGGCATTTCCGCTTCATCTTCTGATGGAAGATCGTACTGTTGATGGGCAGGTGGTTCACCATCGATATATGTATATTTATTTTGAGGATCTACTTCTACGATTGGATCTGCTGGAGGTCTTCGTTTGCGCTTACGCCCTAGTCTCCGACGCACAGGGGAGACCTCTTGTATATCATCATTCCATGTATCGATTGCAGCAGACTGTGCCATTATTGGTTTCGCCATTCTCCATTCCTGGAAAGTTGAAATTTATGTTTAGGTCCCATTATCATAAAAATAAATTTCTGAAAAAATTGCTTGGATCTATAAATTAGATGATGATGCTTATAATTATAAAAAAGACCATCTAAAACATCCAAACACACTATGAAATAATATTGTAAACCACGATATTGTACACAAATTAATTCAAAACTATTTTACAGACTTATTTCCTGAATTAAAAACAAAAAATATAGCCATAAAAAGAGTTACCAAAGTTTCATAAATCACATTATGTAGGCTATATCAACGCCTTCTGAAGCATCGGTGATGCATGATACAGTTGTTAATTGTATTATTTGTACAAAAATAGATCTAATGTTTAATTATCTGCTACATTAATATTTGCTCTGTGGTTTCAATTGCCATTAAAAAATTACCATATTCATAAACCAACTAGTTATTCTCTACAAAATGAATGAGAACCACCAAATAGATCCACACCAATTTTTATCGTGTTCTAATTAACAAGACTTTCTAAAGACACGGTGCGATGACACGCATACAATTGAAATTATTCTCTTACTGCATGATTGTAAGTCAATTATACAGTACTATGTGCGTTTTAACTAAAAGCGTATTCATTCTTAGGGCAATGGCTCGTTCACACAAGAGAAAAAGTGACTACCTAGGTATTCATACAGGGTGGTCCAATTAGTGACATCAAGAATTTTTTTTTAGATTCCTCGCACCTGGATGTATCCGAAAATACCCATCTATGCTCCGCGATTTTTATTACTTTTCGAGTTATATTTTTTTGTGTTTTTTTAATGATTTCTGCCAGCGAGGTTTCAAAAATTCATATCTTTTTTCGTAGTAGATATTTTGCTGTCTTTTTATTTGTGACATAATTCTCTTGAATGTTGTTTTAATAAAAAAAATAACTCAGCTTCCTGAATTTACTTAAAGTTTAAATCTAAAGAAAAGTTTACTAGAAAAAAATCCACGCGGACCAGGCAGAGGACGGGACTCGAACCCGCACCCTTCGCAATCCGGGCGAATGCACTGACCATTATGCTACCACGGCCCTATTGGCAGCGTCAAAATTTTCCTAGCCTTAAGCTGCAAGGCAGCGCCATCTCTTCGCATTGTAGGTAACCCACAATGTCAAATGAATACTTTTTCAAGTATTAAAGAATTGTAAGAAGAAATAGCAATTATAGTTATGTTTTTATTTATTTTTAAGTATAATTTTTAAATAGAAAATTTTGAAAGTTATGTTTTTATATATTTAAAAATAAATAAAATCGCGGAGCACACATGGGGTATTTTCGGATACCCCCAGGTGCGAGGAATCTAAAAAAAAATGTTGACGTCACTAATTGGACCACCCTGTATACTATAGAATTAATATACGAGAACTTATGTGTTTTATATATATCAATATTTTTACTGACAGTATAACCTATATATATTGTTTTCCCTATTATTTTGATTATCGTAAATACTGAAATCTCACTATTACAAACGTGAACGTCATAAGCTTTATTTCGTATTTTGCATGATTTTTATTTTATAGAGTTTTAGTGAACATAACTTTCGCTATTTACCGTATTTTTTATGCATTTTATTCCATCAAACTTGTTAGATAAATAATATATGTGATAAAAGATAAACAAGCACAACATGTATAATACATGTATTAATGTTAATAATTTATTACTAAATGAAGGAAAAACGAAATGTATTAAATTTGTATTACCTAATGTAAAACAGGTAAAAACCAGTGTGCATGTAAAGGATAGGAATATGGGCCTTGTAGACACCACAGTATTCTTAGGGATTACTTTAGATTCTAAGCTTCAATGGGGCCCACATATTGATAAATTGTCAAATAGACTTAGTTCTGCAGCATATGCCGTAATGAAGATACGCCAGTTAACGGATGTAGATACGGCCAGATTAGTATACTTTAGTTATTTCCATAGTGTAATGTCGTACGGAATTTTATTGTGGGGAAACGCCGCCGACATTCAAACTATTTTTGTGCTGCAGAAGAGAGCTATTCGATCAATTTATAATCTTAAAGTTAAGGATTCCTTAAGAGATAGGTTTAAAGAATTTGGTATAATGACGGTCGCATCACAATACATTTACGAAAATTTATTACTTGTAAGAAAAAATATTAATTTGTTTCTTAAAAACAGTGATGTTCACACACTTAATACAAGAAACAAAAATAAACTAACTTTACCTGCTACTAGGCTTCACAAAATCAATAATTCATTTAAAGGTCTTTGTGTTCGCTTATACAATAAAGTCCCAAGCAATATCCAAGAGTTAAGCATAAATAAATTCAAAGATAGTATAAAAAAAGCACTTATTAAAAAAGCTTATTACAAAGTGTCTGATTATATTACAGACAAAAATGCTTGGGTTTGAACTGTTCCAATCATTCCAACAGGTTTTCTATATTAAATAAATCATGATTGTATTGACGTTGTAACAACATAATCGACGACCTCCGTGGCCGAGTGGTTTATACCCCGGGTTTCATGGCGTCACCGACTCGAGAGGTCCCGGGTTCGAATCCCGGTGGGGGCAGATGTTTGTGTGATGAATACGAGCATTTGTACTCCAGTCATGGATGTTTAATATGTATTTCATATAAATATACTTATATATGTACAATATATGTATTCTATCCGTTACCCTGGTATCCCATAACACAAGCATTTACAGTGCTTACTTTGGGGCTAGGCTAATTGGTGTGAGTGTTGGAAATATTTATTTATTTATTTATAATGATTTGTAAATGTTGTTACATTATGCTTTTAATGTTGTGGAGTTTTTTTCGCTCGTTTTTCTCCGCAGCTAAAAAATATGTCCAATAACGAGTGGTAGGGAAAAAAAATGTTTGGACGATTCAAAAGTGTTGTACTATACATCCAATTTGAATAAAGATATATTGATTTCTGATTTCTGATTTCTGTATTCTACAAGCTTTGTTTAAAACTAGTATATGACTTGTAACTTGGTGGCTAGGATAGGATTTTAGTTTTAAAATTTATATAGGATCAACTCCAAGGTTTTAATCCCTTACAACCCTATTTAATGAAAAAAAAAACATCAAAATCGGACAACTCTGTAAAAAGTTTTGCGTGGTCATACATTACAATCAGTGAGTGAACAATTAGTTATCCCGTTTTCCTACCTTCAGGGTTAAATTCTTTTCCAAATTTATATGGGTCCAATTTCGGGGTATACTCTTTCCAATAAAAAAAGAATTGTCATAATCAAACTACTCCGTAGTTTTGCGTGATCGATCATACATAAAAAAAATATGTCTCAATTTGATAACCTCCTCCGCTTTTTTCGTCGGTTGAAAATTCTATTGTGTTGTAACACGCTGATTCAGTATGAACTCGTCACAAGGTTTCACATGCAGCTCTTGTAGCTTTTTTGACGATTAACAAACAATATGTGTTGTATGTATATGGAGCACATCTGAACGGTTACGTAAGTCAAGTTTTCCCTTTCTTTATAGCTACGAGATAACGACTAGAAATTTCTATGCTAATATTGCATACAAACGCTAAAATGCGATATCGATAGCAATGCCAAATTAAAATTTTGAAATTGCATAAGAAATTTGCATGCTTCGAATTATGTAATATGATTTGTCATCATAAAATTCAAATGCCAATGTACTTATGTATGCCGCATTAAGTACGGCTTAATGGATTTGGTTGTTTTTTTGAAGTGAAAACTTCTTTAGCGACGTTGTACACTTTTTTTGTAATAAATAAAAAATGTCGCATCAGGACACGTAGCCTGATCGAAAATTCGTAAGACGAAAACAATAAAATTGGAAAGGTTGTTGACTTTAAATATATTGGACGAAACATAGTAATATTGTATTTTATCGTATTATAATAATAAGTCTCTTTCTAGGACGTCCAGGTGGCAGCTTTATTGCGAAAAAACTGCATTTTTTTTACAATAGATGTCGCTAGGTGCGCTTAAATGTGATTCTTGTAAGTTGATTTTTCTGAGAGATAAACTTTTTAATGTAATATAAATTGTCATGTTTGTGTACGATAGCGCAATAAATAAAAATTGTATTCTACCACATAAATGATAGTACTTTTATACTGATAATTAAAGCAATTCGTGCAAAATTATTACCAAACCATTCCAAAATATCAAAAATGCACAACGTTAATATTCAACTGTTTTTACTTCTGCCGGCACTCCCGGAGTGCAGTCGCATTTCCGGGAACAAGGTATTTATTAAGAAATTAATAAAATTAAGTACTTTTTGATGCCAAATCCTTAAAAATAAAGAAATAAATTCTGAATACCTATGTCACCTAGATGTATAGCCGGTAGTAATGGCAATTAATTTCATGCTAATTTTCTCAATTCAATTACACTAGGTCGTTAGCTCTTATTCGGGTGCACGATTGACATTACTCGAATTCGGGCACCCGAAGCAATATTTACACTAGAATACAGGCAGAAAGGGATAAAGTTTGTGTGTGTATGTGACGTTAAGAGTTTGTGATGTGAGTTTGTGACGTTGTATGGGGTAATCTCTGATTCTGATTTACTGAACCCTATTTTTAAAATTGTTTAACTAATAGAAATCCATGTTATTTTTGAGTGACATCATTGGCTACATATTAACCTAAAATGAAAAGATTTTTTCAAGGTAGTCTGATTTGGATAGTAAGAGGAAAAACGGTCAAACGTTTCTTACGAACACTGCCATAATGATTATAATAATAATAAATGAATTAATATTTACAACACTCACCCCAGTTAGCCTAGCCCCAAAGTAAGCAAGCCTACAGGCTTGTGTTACGGGATACTAGGGGAACAGATTAACTGGCAGCAGCAAATAGTTTCAAATTGATATTATTTCTTTTTGAGACATTGCTTACACCGTACACCAAGGACCAGCCTATATTTAACTAAACGAGATTAAAATGTTAATAAGACATCGTTCGTCACGCACTGTGTGCTCTACTGAAACCTCCCAACTGTGAAGGTTAGCATCAGATGCTGTCTCCGAATACAATAAAATAATAAATTACTGTTATATCTTTTTAAACATGTAACTGCTCGATCTTTTTATCTAAAGAAAATATTACAAGAAAATCGCTTCGAGTCCCGTCTGCTGCCTGCCCGCGTGGAATCTTTTCTAGTAATATTTTCTTTAGATAATAAATTAAAAGGAGAGAACGTGACGTAATTTATGTCCAATTTTATATAGACCTAATAAAAGAAACTATCGATAGAAAAAAAATGTGGTTCATAGCTGATTCTCACAGTAACAGACAACAATATCAAATAGGATAGAACTGTATTATTATTTTTCTTTATACATTGTTATATGGTTATAGACCATCATCTAGTTGACGATGAACCAATTTGGAAAACCACTTGAAACTGAACCTGAACTGAACCTATGGCCTTGTTACATTCGACATTTGTGTCAGTGTAGACAACGGCACAAATGAATATATTGCAAGACCATACTAAAGAACTTCAATAATTTGATGGTGTCCGACTAGTCGCCAAAAATATTTAAAATCAAGAGTGTCAATTCGGATACTGTGTCCGAACATTTTTTGTCTTAGTCTTCAGTCTTCGCAATTCGTCTGTGGACTATGGGTACACTTATTATCTGTTAGGTGGGCCATATGCTTGTTTGCCACCCTTTTAACATACTAAGAAATATGAACAGTCAGCGATGTAGTATGTAATGTAT